AAGCCGAAGACACAAGCCTGAAGATGATGAATGAGACTTCATAATGACGTGGTAAAATACCCAAACAAAGCTGAATACCATACATACATACATACATACATACATACATACATACATACATATACAAGTTTTAAAAATCTAAACAAACTTTAATAATATAAATGCATTTACAATTTTAAATTTCTTCCTAATATCTGCATATTAATTTCCAACTAAAATTATTACAATATACACTAATAAAATCAATTTAAGATTAAAATCTTATTACTTACACATTTTATTCAATGATCTTAGACTGATACTTGTCAGTTTAAATAATTTCACTTAATTGTGTGAAGATTAAATATAAAAAACTGATTTATACAATTCTATTTTGGGTACAGATAATAACTTAATGGCTGACTCAGAATCTAGAAAATCTATATCTGTGATTCAATTGTTCCCATCTCTTCCTAAAACTAAGAATCACTGCAATCATTATCACCCAATGGATCACTATGTGGACAAAGAATCTCACTGATATAGCAATCTTTTCCATTCTAAATACTCTCAAATATGTGGATCTGAACTCCCAGAATCCTTGCTAATGGTCATTCTGGTTGATGAATGAGGTTGAAGTCCACAAGAAAAGGAGACAATTATCTAAATTTCTATACTCAATTCCTAATTAAAATCATGTTTATGATTGTCTGAATACAACATGCTTCTTCTGAAGAATGAAGTGTCCTTTAGATGATCTAGCTCAGGGATGTCAAACTCACATTGTCACGGCAGTGTCATGTGACATATCACAACTTTTTTCCACTTCGCTAATGGCCAGCGTGTGACGCATCTGGCCTGTAAGCCATGAGTTTGACAGCCCTGATCTAGCTCTAAATGTTTAATAAACAAAAGATTGAAGAAGCTATCCAAGTTATCTGGTAGTTAATAGCCACTGAACTGAGTTAGGCCCCTTTTAACAAAGAGAAACTAGCCATTTATTGATAGTGTAACTTAATTTTAAGTAAAAAGAAAAAAAAACACTAAAGATGTAGTATGCAAAAATTATTAGCCCTTAAAACATCTATTCAATACTCAAAAGCCTCAGATTCATGTTTCATGCACTGTTTCAAGCAATAAGAGTTTGTTTGTTCAGATTCAGCTAAATGATTTCTTTTCACCAACATTAATTTGATTACAGGATAGCATAAATTGCTTTTGCTGAATTTATTGCAATTTCACCCAGTACAAAATAAGTGCTATAAAATGGTGCAGGGAATAAAATAGTGCAATCAAGTACATGTATTTTAAATATAGATAGATAGATAGATAGATAGATAGATAGATAGATAGATAGATAGATAGATAGATA